CCCTCCTCCCCACCCCACCCCCCTCCACTCTCTCCCGTGCCACGTTCCCCTAGTCTCTCCCCTGATGCTTCAGCTAGAACATTTTGGCCTTTTGCATTTGCATTTTGCATTGCTGTCAAGTCCAAAGTTCATGCGGTCGACGCCTCAAGTTCTGCGAATGTCCGTCTCGGGAGCATGGCACGTGGGGCACGAATTACTTACAGAATTTCTGTCGGTTGACGTAGGTTCGAATCGCATCGTATCCAGATAAAATTTCAGTTTACTGACAATAGCTCATACACGCTTAGATTTTACTCATGTTGATAATGCATTTTAAATACTTTGATAAAATAAGAACTGGTTTTCTTTAATCTTAAATCCATTCAGTAAAAAATCTTCAAGAAGAGATGCCATTCCAACGACACGCCATCCAAAGATCCCGTCAAAACCGCCCAAGTTTTAACAACCTCGACTTTCTTTCGCGAACCAATGGCGCTCTGTCGTACAAGAAGAACTCCGCTGCTCAAAGTACTGTACTTCCGGTCGCACGTAAATTTATATCGCGTAAGAATCTAAATACCAATCCACTCCAAGCTTTTAAAACGCTAAACGACGCAAAGCACAGAAAACAATATTACATGAGTCCTGATCCACAGAGGTACTACTCTATGCAAACCGCTGAAACAAAGCATGCGTACAAAGGTCCTATTGCTGTCGGTCAGCCTCTACTGAGACCCAGTCCTCTAGCATTCAACCACCAGGCTTCTACCGGAAGTAAAATAAGAATACCACAGGCAGACCAACCGGTGAATCCAGATCTTAATATGGATAAGGCTCAACGGCAGAAGCAGCAAATGAACGCGCAGGCCGGTAATAGACACGATGCTGTACCGGTTAAACCGGATTGGCAGGTGGGAGATGAACGTGTTCAGGATGATCTTGAGGGACAAGATGGTGTGAAAGACGAAGCTACGGAGATCGGGAGTCTAAAGTCGGACCCAATCCCCTCGGATGCTGCGTTTACGGAGAACCCGAAGTTAGACGGAGAAGACCAAGAATCTGAGCAGAAAATGGACAACAGCAAAGAAGCGGAACAACCACAAGAAAAAATGAAGAACGATGTGAGCAGCAATCAACCGCAGAAGCCTACGATTGATGATTTAGAACCGGCTGAGAAAAATAAAAATATTGACTCAAGTTCCCATAGCATAGGTGTCCATAACGATGCTGAAGACAACGCTAAGGAAACCAATGAACAAAGTGAATCAAACAAACTCGACGAGTTCCTGAAGCCTAACACTTACACCAATGACGAGAGAAAAGGGGAAAACGGTGCACAGTCGTCAAATGAAAAACAAGAAACGAACGCCTTTTCCAAAGAGGAGGAAAAGGCCAGTAATTCGGACGGGAATCATTCTGATGATAAAGGCGGTATTGCTATTAATCTAGACGTCCTGAAGGACAAAATCTCAAGCAGTAAAGACATAGGTTTCCTCAAGCGCATGCTGACACTTATCAAGAAGATTACGCATCATAAAGATTTCAACAAACTAGCTGGAGCTCAAAAGAACGCCATTGTGCAAGCTGGAAAAGCCGTGAATAGTGTGGTAAGGAAAGGATCGAATACCGAACGTTCGTTTATACAGCCAAGACCTGCGAACACAAGCCCGAACACAGGTTACAACAGAGGTGGTACACAGTACGTTAATTCGTACATAAGCGAGCACCCACCACGTTGGAAGGTTGGAGATCGCACGCTGACTGGGTCTGCAAAAGCGCAGTTCTATAGTGGAAGACAGCATGAGATCAGCAAGAAGTTCCAGATTGAGAGAAACCCTTACTATCAACAGCAGCCCAGGGTTTCCTACACTCCACCCTATTTTAGTCTTCAGAGACTTAACTATGGGATTTATAATGGTAATGTTCCTTGAACAACGATTGAATATGGTCAAGACCGCTGAGTAAAGCCACTGGGTGTAAACCGCTGGGCAAAACCACTGGGGTAAACCGCTGAACGAAAAACTGACACATTTTAAAAGTTGGTAACGACTTAGATCATAGGCGAATGTTATTGATAAAAATGAAGACAACGATGTTAAAAAATGAAGACTAGAAAGTACATTTTTAAGTTCATGATCGCATTCTATGTTAATTAATTATCCCTGTGATCCTTGACTACAGACTCATCTGTCAGGTTTATGGCCTCGTTTAAGAGCAACATAAAAATCAACTGTAATGTAAAGAATGTGAAAGTTGAACATTTGTACAAGTTTAGCATGTTTAGGAGCTAAACATTTGCTTTTAAACATTAACTGCAATGTAAAGAATGTACAAGTTGAACATTGTACAAACTTAGCCTTGTTTAGGAGCTTAATCAAGAATGTGCAAGTTGAATAATATTGATGTTTTGAAATCTCACATGTACTTTTAAATGGTATCTCTGAATAGCTGACTTTTAAATGAGGCTAAAACTGTGCAAATGAGTCTGTGGTCTTCAAAAACAGCGGTATACATTAAATGGGAATGAAGGCCATTATTTTTTAGTATTTAAAGAAATGAGACGAAATGAGACGTACTCATCTTTGAATGACCTAGAAGCTTAAGTAAATTTTTTGAAAGAGTGTTGAATGAAATAAGTTAAATAGAGACAGTAGCGCTACTTAGCCATGTTGTCAAACTTTTTCAGGCTCAGGTCAAACGTCGAACGGCTTCATATGAGCCGAACCAATTGCAAATTGAAACAATGGATAGCAAGGCGGTCTTCTATGATGTCTATGATGTCATTAGGTTCGGCTCATGTGAAGTTCGACGTTTGACCTGACTCTCGATCTTCAAATTTTGAGCTTTTAGTTCTAGCATCTAAACCTTATAGTAACGAAAGCTTTAACTACAAGATGTTTAATTAAGCTGATCTCGCAAATTCCCATGTGCGAGCAAGCGAAAAATGGCGTAGTGACGTCATAAGAAATGGCGGATATCGTTTCGATCGTTCGTTGTACATTGTATCATTGTATCAAAAAAAAAAAAGATTACCAATAGTTTAATAGTTTTGATATTCGAGTTGATTAACTTAAAATAAATTTATAGCAATAAAGACAATAAAGACAAAAATTTCAATTCGTAACTTGCATTTTTGAATAAAAAGAAAATGTCTCGAAGCGCATGGATCGGACTTATAATTAACGACGGCAAAATATTATATATATATATATATATCTCAAACTCATGAATAATTAATGAGGAAAACACAACAGAAATCACGACCGTGAAGAGTGTTGTAAATCTGATACAAAACTGTGTTCATTTGCATAAACTTTAAGTTGGATTTTCTTGGCCAAATTCACTTTAATTTTGAAAATTTTAGTGAAACACAAAGGAACTAACATAGACGTTTGATAAGTCATATACAGTATTCGTGTCCGTGTTGTATCAGATATACAATCACTCGGCCACGCCTCGTGGTTGTATATCTGATACAACACGGCCACTCATACTGTATATATTACATATATGTACAAAATGAAAAGGTCTAATGAATTATGTAAGTTTTTAACCCAAATGGGCTCCCTGTGGTATTATCGGATGATGTCATCTGACAGTCCTTCTAAAAATCATTTTCTGCCCGTTTTGCTCAGGTTTTTTTAAATGCTTTACCTTAAATTCTTGTGGCATATAATGCAGATATTAGTTTCCACATACTTTTCACATATCAATGTCTAGACATTTTGAATCATTCACATAATCGTAAACCTGATGGAATGAGTCGTCGGTGTGCATGGTTCGGATCTGTCATCATCAGTACAGCTGTTTCTCTATCGAACCTTTGTAAAAAGGGTTGTCTGCTGGTAAACGACTGAATACTACATTACGAATATCCTTTCCTCTCCTCCTCCTCCTCCTCTTTCCTCCTCTTC